GGGAGACCTGGCAGTCAGGAACGACTTTTTGTTCGCAAATTCAAAAGGGCGCTGCAAGAAAGAAGCTCGGAACAAACGATAAGTTCTTTACAGAAGCTGAAGGGTCTTTGGAGGAAAGTTAGCCGTCCTTGAGATTACTGCGGTTTCATCTTTGAATTGCCGTAAGAAAGATATATTCTCTCCTAGAAAGATCTTGAATGCTGTACTTTGAGCAGTCTTTTGGCGAATGAAAGATACTTGAAGGGCTATTCAAACTGTTTTCATAGCGATCTTATGGGCAGTTTTAAAAAATATTATAGTTAATATTCGTATCGGCGCCTGTAGCTGATAGCTTATTGAAATTTTGTTTACCTGCATATGACGAGAATTTTTAAGCTCGTAAAACACACCTAAAGATACATAAAAGTCTTAGACGGATGGCATGTAAATCTAAACGGACTCATGAGGTCAAGCGAATTAAGGATATATGTATGTTTAGGGTCTCTCTTGCGTTCTTGTCCCAGGTACTAGAAGCGAGTTTCTGCCTCATCCGTTGGCCGTTAATCTTCCCTGACTGAGCTGAGGCAATAATGTGACGGACGGAGGTCGACTGAGACGCTTTTCATAGATATTCATAACTTATCATATCTGATCATTGTTGTAATGGGCACTGAAGCTTCGTCTTAAGCTAACTATAGTTTTTCTTTGCTTATTTTAAAAATGTTTTCAACGTCACTATACAAATATTTAGCTACACATGTATATTTTTCACTGTGTGATTTTCTATTAATAACGAAAAGATTTACAAAAAGAAAGGAAAAAAACAAGAAAAGCAATTGAAAGATCATTTGAAGAGAATCGCCAGAAAACTGCTTTAATATTAAACAATTCAATGGACCATATGCGAATCAAACCGAATCTTAGACCTACAGCAGATCTCCTCCAACGACGTTTGCACTGAAAACTAAAAATTTGTAAAACATTTTTAATACTCACGAAAAGCCAAAGCAAACGATAGACTGTAGTCTGAGAATTGCTTACGTTTAACGTAGAATGTGTTTAAAGTGAATTACATTTCATTTTGATTCCCTTGTTTTGTTTTCTATTGCTAGTATCGGTTTGTGAAGTTTATTTCATTACATGACCTCAAAATTTAAGCATTTTTTTTATCATCTCTTTTGGGAGAGATGGCGATAAGTTAGATAGATAGATAGATAGATAGATAGATAGATAGACAGATAGATAGATAGTTACAGGCGAAATGAGAAGTGAATATGAATAAGTTAATATTCTCCGTTCTGAGGTGGTGGTGGGTTTAAAAATACACATGCGATGTACATGATAGAAGATAGAAACAACTAACGCTGCATTTCATAATATAAACGTGCTATACATATAGTTACGTATATATACATCATATGATTGTGTGTATTGATCGTCACATCCATTGGCTGTGTGTACACGATTAAAAAATGTTTTAAAATTTAATATTTTTGCAAAAATTAAGACAAATAAAATTTAAATAGGATTTACAAAAATAAAAAAAAAAAAATAAGAAAAAACAAGAAAAAAAAAAAAAGCAAAATACAAATAAAAATAAAAATTAATCGTGAATCTTAAATGTGTGCATTATGTATGCTTGTAAAGGTGTATTTATCACAGCCACCTGCGCATAGAAGAAATTTAAGAATGAACATAATTAAATGTGCGATATGAGATAGCGCTGTAAACAGTCATCCAAACAGTCGTTCATAAAGTTGTTAGTGATTTGAATTCCAATTAATTACATACGACCAAAAGAAGATGAAATATTTTATGCTTTCATTGTTTTTCGTTTCGTTCGTATTTTTTTACATTATATTTGTCGTTTTTTACTACCATTACAAGCAGTATTTGCATTAATTAACAAAAACAAAAAAAAAAACCCATAGATGAAATGCAACCATCAACCAGCCATGTAACGACCGCAAAATGACGGAATATATGATGTATTGTTAGATCCAACGAGTGAGTGAACTTGAGATACTCAGTTTGCAAAAATTGCATGCATATAACAGTCATCCTGAATTCAACTCTGCGAACCGTACCGACGGTAGCGACTAATATTTAAAGAGATTGATTGTTTGCCTGCTGTGCCCAGCACAACTTGGTTTATACCATCACCATCAGTCTGTGCACTAGTGTACTAACTTTTCCGCATTGTTTGCAAGGGATTTATATGTTTATTAGCTAAATGAGAGATTGCCGGACTTGATAGTTGTTTAGTTTGCACTCTTTTTGTTGATATTTTCAAAGCTCTTAAAATTGTTGCAGAGGATAGAATTATGCATTAAATTGAATCAAGACACAAGTTAAAATAAGTAAAAACACTTTAGTGGACCCCACAGCGAACCACCGCTATAAACCCTATACCACCTTACACTTTTAAAATAAGAAGTTACAGGGGAAGTGATAGAAAAAGTGATCCGATCCGAATCATTTTCAATAGCGTTCGTCCTTAGGAAAAGAAGACGGGCGGATAGACAGACAGATAGATAACCCATCGGCACGAACTTAATATGCCCTAGTACCGCAGGTGTTGTACGATATAAACGCGTAAATAAATAAGAGATCGAATCAAGCCGAATTCCTTAATAAATTATATGTGTCCTGACTGACTATGAAATATGGTCAAGATTCATTCATTGCACATGCGCAGCACATCGTCTCGTATGACTTATCGTAGCATGCCGTATAAATCGTACATCGTGTACGATTTAAATTCATTTCATAGACTTTGGCAATTGGAGGGATATGGTTTTCAAGATTAGCAGAATTATATTAAGAAAAAATATAAAATTCAGCTAAGTTCTAAGAAAAAGTGACCCAATCGTATTAGTTGCTACTACCCATACTAATTTATTTATTTCTTTAGTCTAAGTCAATCATAGTAACAATAATAATAAGAAGAAATGGGAAAATTACGGTAGGAAAGGCGATCTCCGAATCGATTTAATGACCTCTTACAACAGCATAACAAGATAATGGTAACAGCCAGACAAAGATGGTCAAACTGGTTTCGGCGTTCATACCGCTCAAGAAAGTGTACATTTTAAATAGTTTCGAACACGTACTGCATTGCTTTATAAATATTTGGAAAATTTGGTTCATTTCGTTCGTTGCTGTACAGTTCTGACTACTTGAAGTAGCTTAACAACAAGAATAAAGAAAATTACAACAAAAATTCCTTTCTATAAACAAAGTTTGCAGATACGTAATCGTGGACTTGTCTGCAAGAGACGGACAAAGGCGAAGGACGTCGACAGACGTATGTGGATGATTTTAAAAGATCTTCTCTGGCCTATTTCAGCAATTTAGAAAATTATATTTGCCCTGAGACAAAAGCCAGAAAATTTCAAGCACTCGCGGTCGTGGATACAAATGACACCATATTCAACGAAAATTTTGTTAAAACAAAAGCTTTTATCAGACAAATGAAACTATTATGGGTGTGCAAGGTCGAACATAAAATACCCAAGGCCAATGTACTTAGTATATTCCATTCGTCTTGGTTTCGCGTTGCAATATAAAGGTTCCTTTTGATGGGGGACTTTATATGGAGTGATGTTCATGTGTAAACCAAGTTTTATTGTAAAACATGGACATTTTTTTCAAGCAAAGGCTTACTTTTCATGAGAAGCCTTATAGGGACGGTGTCTAGAAAACAGATCTTCGGTAATCCAAATATGTTTTCGAACTTCTCGACAAATATCCCACGAAAAGTAAGTCTTTTTAAGGGAAAGCGTACCAATTTTTAATTTTTCAAATTGTGGTTTGGCATAGAATAGTAGTTTAACATGAAAATTAATTTTACGAAATTTTAGATCATATACATCCATTTTATATACCATACGCCGTGTAAGGTCTCTGCCGAAAACTTAGTATTTGTAATATTTTATGGTAGGTATTAGTCCATAAGAGTAACTTGACAGAAAAATCAATTGAATTATATTTTACACTACATTGGTCTACATTTCGGACAGCAGGTCGTGTAAGGATATTCGTTAAAAGTAAACGTTTGTCTAGCAACAAAGTCTAAGTTTTAGTACTTTTTTGCGAAAATTTGTGCATAATAATAACTGCTTTGACAAGGAGATTAATGTTGCTGAACTGAGACGACGTCGGTCCACGTTTTGAACTTTCTCGCATATAAAGGCTCCAATTTTATTTATTTTATCGCGAAAAGTAAGAATTGTATTAGGCGAATTAGTGCAGGGTATTGAGTAGTCGGACTTAGTCGACTATACTGTTCTTACTTATTCACATCGATAAATATTGAAAACTGTCCGCTTTGTCATCTATTCTTCTTCATGTTAGAAAAAAGCTATAAATGCCATTCGATTGTCCCCAGCATATCTAGTGGATTGTTCGCGGGCGTACTTTAAATTGTACTCCTAAACCGTTGAAGGCTGAACAAAAACGCACCTAGGCCGAATTTGCATCTTATCCGCCTAGAGGCCTTCTTCCGAATGTACTTAATAGGCCCGAGAGAAATTCTTTACTTATTTCTCTCTTCGGTCTCTTGCGCTGTCGCGAACAATGTCTTCGACAACTATTTTAGTAAATATGATTTGTTCTCATTAATTTAATGACACTTTAAAACGTTTTTAAAAAAGTATTTTCATTGAACATAATAGCAATGTATGTGTGTGTGTCTGTGTGTGTAGCTATTTCAATTGCCTTTTTTTCTTTTTAAAAACTTATGAATAATTTTCTTTTTTTCAACTATACAGTGAGATCATATGTATACTCACCACACCATAGCTTTCAACAAAGTTACTAATTAATTTCAAAACACAAAAGAATCAAAACTGATGAATATCTCAGCCAAAACTTGCGTCCATATTTTAATTGTGTTATGTTCCTCATGTCCCAAGCACTTTTGTACTTTATTGTTGTTGAATTTTTTATATGAAAAATTTTTGCTTCCATTACTCAAACATTTTCACATTTTTTTAGTTAACTTAATAATATGTTTTTCAATAGAATTCGGTATTTTTGTAAATCGTTTAATAAAACAATGTCTACCCTTAGGATAAATTATGTAATCCTTATGGATTCATGGATGTGTATAAGAATTTGAGTTATAGAAAGACCGGTCAGGAGAATTGCGGCTGCGAATATTTTAACTATCTCGGTAAATATAGACGCGAAAAATTCGAGAGTCTGGACGTGTAGGAATCAGTGTCATTACCGTTTTGTAAATCTGATTTCTTGTGGGTCTTTTTCATAGCTTTCACTATGCATGCCTTTGAAATTCATTTGGAAAAGTTTGAGCGGAAGTTATGATTTCTTTCTTCATTTCTGCGACAAATAGATCTTCGATAAGAAAAGACAGTGAACGGGGCCTGTTTGACGTAACCAAGAAATAATTCTTGATCTTTGCTTTTAGGAATTGGCATTTGAATCCTCCATTGTCTTTAACGCTATCTTTAATCCCTTTGCTAAACAAGAGAGAGTAGTTTTATCCTAGGCATTCTTTTCTTATTTAAGTTAATAAATGATTAAATATTGACAATCTAAATATTATTGATAATTTAATCTCACTATCAAATGCTATCATATCAACTCTCATTAACATCCAACTCTTGTGTATTCGCAAATTAAACTAAATGCGTTCGTTACTATCGTTTGCCAAGCTTTTCCGAATTTGCATCGTTTTAGGGGGTCACTCTCAACTCGGGCATATACAAAAGTTCCTCTGTGCAAGTGCAAGTGCAAGTGTGCCTCTGTGCTACACGTGCCTCTGTGCTACACATGCTTTCCTCTTTTTCCTCTTATTTGTTTATTTACACATGGATTTTGTTCTTTTTATTTTTGCTTTATTTTCTCTACCTTATAGAAGCGAAGTCCTATTGTGTGGCATACGTTCTATCATTAAGAGTCCACTTAATTCGGTTATTATTTTATTGCAATTGAATATCTTTTGTAATTAAATAAATAAATAAACAACAAAAATATATATTCGATGAGGAGTGAGTTTAATAGCCCTCACACGAGCCAAGCATTCTGTTCGAAACTTACGTAAAGCTTGACATATTGAGTTTTATATATTTTCTTCAAACCACTTGATCTATGAAGTAGACCTCTTTACACTAATATTCGTTACAATTTGCATGACAAACCGGATCGGTGACAATCACGACTGCCAACCTTTTATGTAGAATCAATTTTGGACCAGTGCTGCGTCGAACGGGATGATTACATTCAGCTTTCGAAAAACGTTTTCTTGACCGACCACCGCAGGAACTCGCATATTGACCTGTTGCGAAAGCAATTGACCAAGGGATATTACTATTAATTGTAGATCCATGCATACACACACTTTTTTATGCAAGTTCTTCTGTAGAAGTAGAGCGCAAGTCTTATATATTCTAAGGATTTGCCTGAGTCCTCCTTTATTAGTTTATTTAATAATTTTATCTATGTATGTATCTATCACATATAATTCCTCTTGTCTTTATCTCTGTCTCATAGTTCCAATCGGCAATTTATAGAAATAATGAACAATAACAGCAACAGCGAAGCAAAATAATAGTCAGTGCTATTTGTGGTTTCGTACGTGTGTGTGTGTGTGCGCGCAATATCAACGCTTTCGAGTTTCAATGAAAACTTGAAAAATAAAAAAAAAAACGAAAATAAAACTAGCTATGTATGTATGTTTATAATAAAGACAGAAAAAAGTTTTACGTGCGCATAAATTCATACAGAATAACATAAAACAAATTTTACCACAGCTTTAATAAAAAACAAAAATCGACCAATAAATAAAAAGGAAATCAGAAATCGCAGACAAGTGAAAACAAACATCCCGGTGCTCGCCTAATATCATATATACCCCAAAAAAAAAAACACACACACACACGCACACGCACACACACACACATACACACACACGCGCGCGCGAACGCAAAGGCACATCCAGTTGAAATGCTTCATACTAACGAGAAATGAAAACAATAACAATTTTGTATAAACCGACGAGAATCTATCGAAAACCGAAAAAATAAAAGTTTAACAAACGGATCAGTTTGAGTTGTGATAAACTAGCTGACAGCGCATATAGATAATAGCAATAATAATAGAAGGCAGAAAAAAAATTTAAAAAATTGAAAAGTATCCGAAAAGCGATTGCAAATTAAAAGGCTGCTTAAGCCATGCAGCATCAAGCTGAGCAGCAGCAACAGCTATTTCAACAAAACGGTACGATAGGTACCGGTGAAGGAGCTTCAAATCCTCAAATTGGTGGCAGCGGTGGTGGCGGCGGTGGCGGTGCGGCAGCAGGGGGTAAGAGATCTCATGTAAGCGGTGGTAGATTTGATTTTGAAGACGGCGGCACTTATTGCGGCGGCTGGGATGAGGGCAAAGCACATGGTCACGGTGTATGCACAGGTCCTAAACATCAGGGTGCTTATGCGGGGGCTTGGAATTACGGTTTTGAAGTCTCCGGGTCATATATATGGCCAAGGTAAGTAAGCAATTAAAGACTAATGAAATCTTTGCTTAAAGAGCATTGCTTGCGTAGCGGTTCTCATTACGAGGGCCAGTGGCAGAACGGGCGTCGTCATGGTTTGGGTGTTGAACAGATAGGACGTCAAATATATCGTGGCGAATGGTCGAAGGATGGCCATAAGGGTCGCTATGGTGTGCGTGAGAGCACCGTGTCAACAGCACGCTACGAGGGTACCTGGAATCTAGGCTATCAAGATGGTTATGGCTGTGAAACATACGCCGACGGAGGTAATTTAAAAAACAAATTTCAAAGAGAACTAAGAAAAATTGATTCGTTGCTCGTTAGTTAAAAATAGTTCGTGCTCTATTATACATCATAATTTCTGATGTCCACAGGAGGAACTTAATTATTTACTAACATATCTACTAAGGGGAATTTAGCCAAACTACACTCGCTTTGCGATTGATGCTAGGCATAGACAACTTGGGAAAGTCCGGCGCTAATTGTAAAGATCCCAGCTGCTTAATTAGGGCTATTTTCAAAGTTTCATCAATTCGGAACTGTCCTCTACTATCTGATAGCAGGTTACCGAATAATGTGTTAACATTACTGCTATCAGTAATGCACGACTTACTTACTTACTTTGCAAATGAGCTTCTGTGTCTTCTGGCCAATGAGGACATTCGTATGCAATATATCTACGAAATATATCTATGAAATTTGAAATGAATTAATCTTTGTCACGACACTCATGAGTATTATCTTCACATTTTGCACAAATCCTGTGCTCGTTTAACAGATACTTTGTTTAATGGATCATCATCCCTTCGATTCACTTAGGTACCCTATAGTTTCAGTTAATCGCTTAAGCTTGAAAATGAACGTGATTCATCTAGGGCTCTCACAACAAAGCGACCGAAGCTTATTATAATATTTATATATTATTATATTTATATATATATATATATTATAATATTAATATATTTATATGTAACAAAATAGATGGTCAGGATTATTCGAAATAAATTAAATCGATTATATTTTTTTTCTTTTTTGCTTTACTGGCAGATAAATTTAAAAATTCATAGCTGTTCCAATCCAGTGGCCCTGATCAGCCTTAAGTTGTTACTTTTATGTAAAAACAAGTAAAAACACTACAGTGAGCCACGGCGCGCATTTGACGTTGTATGTAAACCATGTTCCGAATCAATTTCGATAGCGTTTGTCTTTGGGGCACAACACATCACGCGGACAGACGGATAGACAAGGTTAGGACGTTTCAAAATGTCAGTCTGAATCGATCGGTATAAAAAAAACTCTTAAGAGTTTCCACTTCAAACTTAAGATGCCCTAAGCATTACAAGTGCTAGAGTACAAAACGCATGATTTTTTGCCAAGTAAGGTGAGGTAAGAAAAACTAGAATCTAACTGTACGGAAGTAATAAGAAGCCCATACTCGTATTTCAAAAAGATATTCTTGAATATTAACAAAATGATATTCTACAAGAAAAAACCATCAGCGGGGATTAAAACGTCTCTTGATGTGACTCTTAAACGGGTGGGTAGGAAAGAACGCGCTGAGCACTTTCAATTAATGGATATATATATGGGGCTAAGTGGAAAGCGAGGAGCAATAAATAAGAAATAAGCAGGAAAAGTTTGGATTAGATTAGACTAAAACTCATCAGCTCTAATTTTATTATTATTTTGTTTACTTGTCTGCAATTTTCTTTTTTATACCCACCACCGAAGTACCGAAGGTGTCATATCCATTGAAGTGTTTGTCAGTCCATGTGTCCGTCCGTCTGTTGATTGCTGTTGTAAACGTTCTCCGGATCGCAAAAGTGAAACTAAACTTAAGAAATTTGTCAAAAACACTGGGAATTGTCGCATGCAGGTTTATATTGAAAATGGGCCAAATCGATAAAAACATATGCCCTCAGTGCATAATGAGTTGAGAACATCTTTGCTTTTTGCATTTTTTGCATGAAAGCTTTGTTTTTCCGGTTAGGTATAAAAGGTTCGGTCACAGCCAAATGTTTCGATATAGAATTGCTTATACACATCGTCTTATCGTCATATTTCATATTGTTGTCGAGAGCCGCATAGCTCTTACTGTTATGCGATTTTTCCGTGAGAAGTAATAAGGAGAGTATAAGAATTTAATCATTATTTATTAATCTGCAACACGATATAGGTATTTCAACTCGTTTTTAAATATTATTCATACGCGATGTAATAATTTAAATAACTTTGAAATGCCACCGATGCCGGAAACGGAAATTGCCAGTTGTTAAGTAACGAGGACAAAAATAGAAATATTTAACATATCGTATTTTAAAACATGAAAGATTCTATTGAATAACTGAAAGCAATAGAGACATAATTTTATTGTACTTGTAAATAATTAACAGTTAACTATTTTATCATACACTTCACATATTCGATATCAATGCATACGCGAAGGGTATAACTCGAAATAATGCGACAATTGTTAATCAGAACAAAAGCTTCCTCTCACTCAAAGGCTCATGAAATATGGACATTTGAAAGTACATGTGTGTTTGTGTGTGTGTGTGTGTGTGTGTGTGTGTGCGCGCGTATATCGCAGTAAAATATCAAGGATAAAAACAATGCATTTGTTCACGACTTTTAATTTAATATACAAGTGTGTGTATATGAACACGTGGATATGAGTGTGTGTACGTGTGCGACTGTGATGAGAGATGCCACTACTAAAACTATTTGAAGGCATATTGTATATATGCACAAGTAGTGATATAGTTGAAGGTGTTTGTAAGCTGAATGTTTTTGGAACTTTGTGCTTGCAAGCCAAATTTAGCAGCACAAAAGCATTACGTAGCGAAAATATATGTGAAGAGTCATTATTATTTTTATCACTTGTCACACAAATTATTGATGTCAGCCGTAATATATTAACTTAAACAAGCTTATATCCTAGGGCGGCTTATCATCTTTGGTTGGTTCTCTTGTAATGGCTTTCAGGTAAATACCAAGGGCAATGGCAAGAGGGTAAACGTCACGGTTATGGTATGCGCACATCGGCTCCCTTTGGCCTCGCCTCCCACCACCGCCGCAAAGACATACATGCGTCGTTGAGTTCATTGCGTAGCAATGAAAATGCAGCCAACGCGGCGAAAAATAATGCCCGCACCGAGGAGATTCGTGGTGGATTTGTGCTTACCGCTCGTTCGGATAAAGCGCCTGCAAGACGAAACAGCTTGTCGGAAAAATCGAAAAAGGGATTTCTATCGGTGAGCATTATGTGAAAAAAAAAAGAAATTGGTGCCATTACCTAAGAATTGAACGTAAATTCAGGGCTTAAAAATGCGTAAGCAGCGAAGCACTAGTGATTTGGAGAAACGTGGCACCCTAGCTTCTGGCAGTATACGCTCGACAATGTCAACAGCATCTTGGCTAAGTACAGGTTCAGAGCAATCAAATTTAACGGCAAAGTATGTCCATTCCGGGATCATTTCACTTTACTACTTAACTTTTTACATGCATGCGCATATGTTTACTTTAGGTCTGCACATACCGAATCCAATGCTAGCTTCACCATGGAGGACGAGCAGCTGGATCCGACGGTTGTAGAGACGTATATGGGCGAATGGAAGAAGGATAAACGTTGCGGTTTCGGAGTGGCTGAACGGACTGACGGTCTAAAATACGAGGGTGAGTGGTATAACAATAAGAAACACGGTTACGGTATAACCACATTTAGAGATGGCTCCTTTGAGGAGGGAAAATACAAGAACAACATTCTAATCACTAGTCAAAAGAAAAAACACTTGTTTATTGCTCGGTCACGCAAGTTCCGGGAACGCATTACTGCTTCAGTGGCTTCGGCGCAGCGCGCTTTAAAAATGGCTATGCAACGTTCCGATATTGCGATTTCGCGAACTGCCACTGCAAGTGCCAAGGCCCAAAGTGCTGATATTGCCGCTGAACAAGCTCGGATTGATTGCGAGATAGCTGTGCAAATGGCTCGCGAATTCGCTCCCGATTTTAAGCCTACTGTTCTCGAGCGTTTTGAAAAATTACGTTACCGGGAAAGATATAAAGCTCCACCTGCCGGTGCCTCGCAATTTTCACCAGGTAGTACCGCTGCAGACGGCGTTGCCAGCAATACAGCGGGTCCGCAGCGTTCGAATGCATTTCAACAGAATCGGCAAGCCACGCAAGCCCAGCAAAACGCTGAATTTCCCGTTCCGAGTTCCATGTATTCGCAACAGTTACCAGTGACGCCGCAAACGGATTTATCGGGTTTAGTGAGCCCAGCGCAATCGAGTGCGATTACTACCATCAATCAAATGTACCAGCAGCAATATCAACAGCAACTGCAGCAAAACAATCCCCAAATGAATCCCGCATATCAATACCAGCTGCAACAACCGCCTGGCCTTGCAAAGGCAAACGCAAATTATATCCCAAGTAATCTAAGTAGCAGCGGTAGTCCGATGAAAAATCAAATACAAACGGATAATGCAAACTTTCAGAACGCTGAGGCAACTCATACAGTAAATAGCTTGACGCAGCAGCAGATTTTGCAACAGCAACAACAATTACATCAACAACAGTTGCAACAGCAACAACAGTTGCAATTACAACAGCAACAGCAAATTTTACAGCAACAACATCTTCAACAACAAAGGCAGCAATTGCAGCAGCAACAACAGCAGCAACAACAACAGCAAATGCTACAACAGCGACAGCAACACTTGATGCACCAACAACAGAGTACTGTCGATTCTCCAAGTCATGGCGCCAGCCAACTTAGACGACCCTCGCAAATACAATACCAGCAGCAGCAGCAAGCACAACAACTTCAACAACAGCCAGATAATAGTGCAATGGCCGCCAGTCGACAAGGTAAAACGCCTATGCTGGGCCAAACCGATCAACAGTCATCAATCGATCACTTTGATCATTACAAGCGACCTCCAAGCCGCGATTCGTCGATAGATCGTTATGCCCGGGCGGCTAGTCGTTTGAGTGGCGGCTTCGGATCTCGACAGGCGTCAATTGATCGCGGAACCGCCAATGAAAGTGGCACACCTGAACAGCGGCCACGAACCGGTTCAGTATTTCGTGGTACAACACCAGCACCGTCCGGTGGTAATACACCCACGCAGGGAAATGGTTCCGTTCCAACGGGAACTGGCCGAATGTCTCGTGCTCCTACGCCGAGTCTAAATGCCGCGAATTCCACAACCACAGAATCGCTTTACTCAAAGCAAAACCAACCATTCGAAGATGTACTCCTGCGCCAGCGAACGCTCGGACAGGATATCATTCCCTCACCCTCGCAGCCAAAACGTACAGAAAGTCTATATTTACCCCCAAAACCAGTGATACCTTTATCTTCAGCCACTGCTGCCACTGCAGCCACTAAGAAACTAAAGGTAAGAAAGACAGCTCCCCTACTTACTAATGCGTTTTAGGGAACGCTATAATCATATCTCTATGTCAAATTTAGGGCATCTGATTAGGACACAAATACGTACCTACCGGAGTATAATTTTTCGTTATTAGTATTGGTTATCTATTGAATTTTTATTCATTTTGTTTTTTTTTTTTCATTGTCTATGTTCTGACGCGAAAATACTCAGGGGAGAGAGCATCCTAAAAATAGCCTCACGACCTTAATGAATGCTCTACAAAATGAATCGAAATGAATTCTTCACAAGTGTTTGTCGCGCTACATCTTCGAAAATCGCTTTTCTTTTGTCTTACTTACGTGTTCGATAATAAGAGAAATTCAGCGCAACTTTACTAAATGCATAAAGATCACGCTGCAAGCATGAACAACATGCGAATTAGTATCGAGCGATATCTAGTTTGTAAACATCTATTCACCTGCAAGAAAAGCGAAAGAGAACGGACGAAAAAACTAAAACTAAATTTTCAAAATAATTTCGATTATGCTTAAAATAAGCGGTTTGACGGACGGGGTGCAATTTTAATACACACATATATATATATATATATATATATATATTCATATTCATGTAGGCATAGCAATGTGTTGAATAGCGACTGTTCGGTGATCGTTTCTGCGTTAGCTTCAAGTGAAGAAAACTTAAATATCGCATAAATGTTCTTTTTATAATAATGAAAAATTATTATTAAACTGAAATACATATTAAAGTGAAGAAGCGGAATGCGTGAAACAAAAAGAATTTCAAAGTGACTTAATTGAAAAACAACAGACTACGTAGAAGTAAACAATATTTAGCGACTTTGAGTTCTTTCGGAAAAGTTATGCAATATATTTATTTTTTCTCTTATCCGTTGACCCTGTAAAATTGCAAAAAAATCTATAAGCATGGAATGGTATCCGGAAGAAGATGAGGAGGATTTAATGTTCTCGCCAGCTTTATTAGCTCGCCGAGCATCGGAGAGTTGGATTGTTGAGCCACCGACAGAAGTTAATAACATTTTATATGCTTAAAATCATTTAATGAAATCTTGCGATATTCGATAAATGAAACTGAGAGTGTTTTTGCATATATTTCTAATTTATTACAGAGCGTTCCTATTAATGTTACGCTACAGCGTAAGAAATCATTGCCCGATTTCCAAGAACTGCCACGTGCCACTGAAGCTATGAGTCGCGAGGAGGTATCTGCTTTAGGCTCAGCTAGACGCGAAGCGGTACGCCGCCAAATCGAGATGAATGAAAGGCTCAAAGGCAATCCCTTATTATACCTCGTAAGTCCGCAAGTAAAGGTGAGTGAGTGTTCCTTTAATTAAATTCTACACATTCCACATATTTCCCCTGCATATATACATATATATGTACATATTAACTTATGCATTTCTTGTTATTCTTTATTGTATATAGGATTGGTTCTCACGACAACAGCTGATGCTCTTGGTGCTTTTTGTGAACATTGTGTTGGGAATATTGTTTTTTAAATTGTTGACATAGCGAAAAATTGTGTACATTTTTCAATTTGTGTAAATTTAATTATGTGTATGCATAAATTTGGACAAAGGAACTCTTATGCGCAGCAATTGAGAATGCTTATAAAGAGATCCTTTACACATATACGCTAAGTATATCCATTTGAAATTTTATTCATATATATATATATATATATATATATATGTATATATATCGTATATATATATATATATCGTAAACATTATATTTTGTACTAAATTTCCATTTAATCGTTTTTAGAGTGCATTTGCAGCAAAACAAAAAAAAAGTAGCAAAAAAAAAAAAAAAAAAATCATTTCGTTCGATTTATTAACTGGACCGCAAACTATTATATAAAGAAAAATTTTTGAAAAAACTTACATATATGTATAGTTCATTTAATTGCAAATTTTCTTAAGTAATTGTAAGACGTGTGTAGTCTTGGTGCCACTTAATTCTCAAAATGTAAGAAGAAGCAGTAGTAACGAGGGATTTTCCCCACTTTCTTGAACCTTTTCATTTCAATTAGATATATACTGACTGGTTTAGTTACTCTTAGCTTTTGTAAGCCTTCTGACTATCAGGTCAATCTAATGCAAGATGGTTCAACAAATTGATCAATTTTTAACAGTACTTTACACGGTTCTGACGACATATTTTCGAAATCTTTAAATGAATTACGATTTGTCAGCGTAATCTACAGCTCAGTATAAGTCATTGTTTTAATCATAAAATTCATAACAATATTTACTTCAAAGCCTTTTAATTTAAATATTCAAATGTGGAAATAAGTCGCAGACCGAAGAACAACCATTCAGGAGATGCCTCCTATTCGTACAACAGAGTGACGGTCAGAAAGAAATTACAAGAGATAGGCAGTTGACCGCAGCCTAATGTTGTAAGCGCAGCCAGTCAGTGTTATAACGAAAGTAAACCCTACCGCTGTTTGGATTTGAGCTAGCGACTCTTGCATACTCGGTTCCATGATAAGTGCTCAGTAGAGCAAGTAATTTATTATATCCTATACCACTTCTGGTACACAGTATATTAATTTCGTGCGGACGCATGTAACACGCAGAAACTCTTAAGCCAACGTTCTATTCAGCATCATTTTTGAATCGATCCAAGCCTGTCTGTCTATATAAATTTGTGTTCAAGCTGCAGGTCGCGATTTTCGTGATATTTTGATGAAATTTATTACACTTCGATATTTTCCGAATAATTCAATTCATTCAAAGACTTTTACGACTATAAATTAAATTTTTTCGTTCTGAACAAAAGTTCAGACTAAAAAAACTCTTTGTAAAAACTGCTTCTTAATGAATAATTTTTTCTTTCGGACAGGATTTGCAATTATTTTCTTATGGACTATATATATATGTATGAATACATTTGTTTGCACACGCATACAGACATACATAACTATAGTAAAATATATATAAATTTATATACATTAATTAATTATATTTAATATAAATAAAAATTATATATTTAATTATTTTGAAAGTCAAAGGCAAAAAAGAAAAAAGAAAAACGTAATAGAAAAAGCTTTTCTTTTTGGTAAATTGTTTGGAAACAAATACGCTAAAAAGAGGTTAGTGGGGTAAAGTTGGGGAGATCAATAACAAACAAATCAATTCTTTATTCTTTTTGAGTTCATCGAGATCTGAATGCAAAACAATTAAAATAGAACACTTTTGTACATCATAAATAAATAAATTAATCAATTGGATTCAAGAAAACAAAAAAAAAAAACAAAAAAAGAAAAAAAGATAGAAAGCTTCCACTAATCTTTTACTCATATTTTATACGAATAAATACAAATAAATACATAAATAAAAAAATATAATCATTAAATAAAAAACCCTGTACTGAGTTCATTGAAGTTTTCAAACTTCTGCCTTTTCACTAAAAAAGAAAAAAAATAAAAATACATAAAAAACGTATAAAGATGAAGAGAGGTTTTCGAAATTTTGATTGACGTTCTTACCATTTAATATTTGAATCCTGTAAAATTAGGCTATAACTTTGATATTTCGGTATATGAAAAAACTAAGAAATCGTACTCGGCTTTTACCGAATATTTTGATACCCAAAAATTATTATTATTATTATTTTTTTTTAATATATAAGGGTATGTGCCATCAAATCGTTTACAAATCAAAGGGAGGTAAAGCGAATTCAAAAGAAAACATATCGTATTAAAATTCCTTTGAAATGTAGGCATCCGCACACACACATACACACGCACACACACACACACACACACACAATTGTAATATAAACTTTATGCTTCGTGTACAAGTATACCTCTACTGTTGCAAGATAAATTAAACATAGGATAACATACGCAAATGCATTTTATATAACATATTCGAAAAATATATATAAATATAGCCACCATAAAATATCGTATTATTGCAGATTTCTGAGCAGATATTCTAGAGCAGAAATTTCTAGTGAGTTTGGGCCAATCTAACTTATTTTCAAATTTTTTTCTGACAGTAGTGTCAATGGGTAGACATTTATCTCACCTCATAAACATATAAGTCAATTTCTTTGAAAGTGGTATAAGTCCATTTATGACAAAAATTTATTTAATGATAACAATGAATGCAAATCTGCTAAGATCTTTTGATCTATAAAAAATTGTTTAAAATTTTCATCATGCCTTCAATATAAATTTATGTAATTAACGAAATAATAAACCTGATTTTCTTGAAAACGGTGCAAGTCTATTTTCCGCAAAGAACTAATATTTAGTTAATATTTAGTTTAGTGGGCCATCCCGCGATACCATTTCTTCTCATACCGTTGCACATATAACAGCTTTTCAAAGTAAAGATTTATATGGAAGTGGTCCGATCGAAACGATTCTCAATATCGTTCGTCCATGGGTTAGAACACGCCAGTGTTTCAAGTTTCATCACAATATCTAAAAAATTTACCGCCCATAGGTAGAACACAAGAAAACAAGATGGACGGGGGGACAGACAAGATTAAATCTATTCAGCAAGCGAATCTTAATTGATCGGTATAACAAGAAGTGAGTTTATCTCAGTTCCCTCAGAGCGTTGCATACATCCGAACAAACTTACTATGCCATTGTACCACAAATGGACTACGGTGTACAATTTCTTTTAGATAATTAAATAGTTTTGGTTATTTTGTGTTTAAGCCAAACTCAACGCAATGCTGCTGATAAATACAATGGGCAAAGGATTTTACTTTAGGTCCATTTGATATTTGATATTTGAATTCCTTTTTAAGTAGTATCTAAAAAACAGTTACGCTACAAATATAAATCAATTTAATATTTAAAAAGCATAAAGTGAAAGTATGCCGTACATCAGGAATTTTCAAACCATTCGAATGCAACCTCTTTTATGCCTCCTGATTATGTAAAATGCACTTAGATCACTCGCAAAGAAAGCGACTCAACACTACTTCAGGCATTTGGTTATTTCAACTTTATTATTATTATTATTTATTATTATTTTAATTTTAGACTAATGAATTGAATTCTTAGACTAAAAAAAAGACATTGAGCACTAGCAACACAGGCTATCAGGTATTCAACAATAAATTAAAATTCTTTTCGACATAATAACGAGAGAGAATCAGAATCAAAATAATTTGGCAGAACATTCACAAATAATCATTGATGCGATGCAACGATCCTTATCCTTAGAACAATACACATACATGTACAATGTGCAAGCGTTTCAAAAAATCTTTATATACAATAAATTTTGCAAGCGACTGTCGCGTAAAGCTTGAGTAGCAAAAAATCGATCTATACCATCCACGAATCCTTAAATCGTTTGTATATTTATTTCATTTTCATATATAAAAAAAAAAAAAAAGAAAGAAAAAAACTAATGAAACAAAATTACCAAAAGAAAAAAAAAAATGAAATCAAAATTGTTAAACTAAGCCTTAAATATTTACAAAATATACCTACAAAGGAATCAGCCTCTTCTACCTAATGGAACATTATAACGGGAAAGGTGAAGTCCGACAAAATTAAACAAAACAGAAAAAAAATAAAAAACAAATTGTTTTATTAAAAGAGCTTTATAGTCTTTTCAAAACACATACACGTACATATACTTAGATATTCTTTTTAATAATATTTCTATAAATAAAGTTAAGTTCAATTGAAATGAATGTAATTTTTTTTTCGTTTATATTATTTCTGTGTGTTGATTTGTTTTTTGTTTTATTTCTTGAAATAAAAAATTGAAAAATTCATTTAAAAAAGAAAAGAAAAAAAATTAGCCACGACTTTTACGTTGCGAATAAATTAATTCTTGATTTGTTCAAAGATTTAACCAATTAGTTGTCATTGACGAGTATACTCGTCAGGGAGAAATGTTAATATTTTGTATTATGATGAGAGCATACTCGTCGTATACTTAATCTTTGCGACACAATTTAAGTGGAGATTTTTCGAATAGGTCGCAACACCTAACAAATTAATAAAATCACATACTCGGACTCAAAAATCGACGAGTTTCAATATAGATTTATCAAGTATGCATGCTTAGTGCTCAGGGCTTTACAAATTATAAAGATTTATAAATGCTGGCGGCGTTCGTTTGACTCTGATCTGTTGACATCGCCACTAAGAACTCAAAATCCTGTCCAGCATATACATTGCTACAGATCGTTACATCTTTTTCTTCCCACAAACGTAATGAGTGTAACATGATCTTTCAATTATGTTAAGAACTTTTCCATATTGAAATCCATAGGATTTGTGAGCCATCTTGTAGTAAAGATTTTCCGCAAAAGTATATTTACAGCTATATAATCTCTGTGCTAAAGTTGCTATTTAGAATCAACATTTTTAGCGACTAAGCGAATAAAACTGGCGAGAGTAAAAAAAGATTTCTTATAGTTATACCGTACATCACTTTTGAGACAAGGATGTATTAGGCTTCTACGGATGTAAGAAACACCCAAAATGTCGTGAGGTAGGCCCGCCTTTTTCCAAAACGATCTCAGTTTATAAGGAGCTACACATTTAAAATGGATAAGAACATCTACTATAGCGTCATTATTGAGACAAGCTATGAACTTTTCAGGAGAAGGCTTTTCCGTAGGCTGCAAAAGACATAAATTTTGCGATGAAATCGTCATCAAGATGGGCCCCGAGACAAAAGAGCTCAGCTGTGTTGCCAAAAGCTGCAAGAACAACGACGTTTGCAACCTTCAAGACCGGCACAGTAGCTCACAACGACCTTAAAGTATATCTGATTATGAAATGTCGTTGATAGTTTTTAATAAACGATTGATATCTGTCTTGTTTTCTTGCGTTCAATCTTTTAGGCCGCAATTTTTGAGACATTTTAATAAAAATTCGTATACTGACCGATGAATGCTTTTGAATATGGTTCAGATTGGACCAACTCTATGTAAGTGTAACTGTCGGGTTTTTATTTGCTTTGCGGTAATTTCTTTCTTATTGATACAGTTTTCTTTTTGCCCCGTCAACTCAAAATGAAGTAAATAAAAATCTATAAGTGGTCCTGCTTGTACAACAGAAGTGTACAACTTATTTTTTTTTTGCGGATGTATGCAACACTTAGAAGGACTTGGAATGGATCCGCCTTATATAATAAGGATCGATACAGAATCAGATTCAAGCTTGTCTGTCCGTCTATACCACCCTGTCTTGTTGTGTTCAAGCTAAAATTGAGCAGCAAATTTTTGAAATACTTTAAAGAAAATTGATGCATCGACAATTTTTTGCCCAAAAATGGAAGTTATCGAAAATAGTTCGGATAGGACCATTTTTTCGATCACTTTACATACGACGCCTGTATTAAACGTGTATTGGTATGGAATATTTAATAGTCGGCCATGGCCTATTACAGTGATTTTACTTGTTTATTATTTGATTTGAATGTTGATGCAAGTAAACAAAGATTCTGAGTAAACTGCGTGGGCTCCGTGGAACACCAATGGTCAGCCAAAACTATTCCAAACAATAGATATGGTCAATTCGATTTAAGAATCAGGAAAATAGGCTTTATACTTTATTGAACATGGATAAGTGCGATTATGTAGCTATCACTTTAACTTCTGTCCCTTCGGCAACATTGAAATGGAAAAAGATTAAATTAAGATTTGTGTTTTTAGAAGCTTCTCGCAATGTAATGTACATTAATAATAGCGGCATAAGTGTGGAGTATTTATATATATCATATATATATCATACATACAAACGTCAAAAGTGAGAAAAAATACTTTGAACTTTTGAAAATAAAAATTCAATTTTATATATTGCCTGATATTAAAAAAAAACGAAAGAAACTTACAACGTTTTATATAATTAACAGTACAAATACACATTACATACATAACTACAACGTTCTTTTTTTGTTTATTTATTTATTTATTTGTGTGTTTTTTTTTTATAATGTAGCGACATTACTGTGTGTAGAAAGAAGTAAAAAATTTCTTGTCGTACTATAGAGGTTAGTTGGAGTTTTAAGGATTATTGAAATTGTAGTTACGCACGCAGAGTAAGTGTACTAAAAAGTTAATTTTTACAATACAAATATATAACATCGCAGGCAACGCGATAGCGAAAAAGAAAAAATATATACAAATTTTGTGTATATATGTATTATTGTTGTTTGAAAGACTTGCAGTTAAGTCAAGTACTTCTTCCATACTAGTAATTATTATCTTGTTCTCTTTTTATATTACAAATAAAAAATGAAATTAAATGAAAAAGAAAAAAAAAAAAAAGCAGAAAGTTACCTAAAAATTTTAAATCAAGATTAAAAATAAGAAAACAATCGAAAAAAAGAAAGCTCATAAAGCACCCGGTTTAAGTGAAAACGATAATTTTGGTCTTGAATTATTTTTGCCCAGAATGACTTTTTGCTCCTCTTTGATACGTTTCTCCTGTTCCTTGCGCATACGTTGACGTTCCTCATCCATAAGACGTTGCTCTTCAATAATGGCCAAACGCTCTTCAGCCTACGGTACATAGAAGAATTTTATAATATAATAATATGATCATTTATACATGATTTATATAAAGATGGGACTGACCAGTTTGCGTTGAGCTTCTTCGATTTTTCGATTATTTTCAGCCAAAATTTCTTCGAGTTCTTCGCGTTTTTTCTTTTCCTCTTCCTATAAATTTATTGAAAAAATTATAGATTAAATAATGATCTACGGTAAACGTATACTTATTATCTATTTCCTCGAAATAACTAAATAATTATTGTTTCATATTTCATATCAAGCCTTTCTCACATTGCCGCTTACAGTGATAGTTTATTTCTGCACATTTCTAATACGAGCTATGAGATGGCTAAAGAGATTAGCGTATATTTTTTGTGACTTTAAACGACATTTTAAAATGTCGCTTAAGTCATTGCTGAGTGATAAAATTAAACTAAAAATTTTAAACAAATGATTACTTACAAATTTTATAGATTTTTTTTGGTTTTGTCTTTTTGTTTTTGTTTCTTTCTTTTCTTTTCTTTTCTTTTCTCTTTTAACGCACACAATGTATGAAAAAGTTAGAAATAAAAGACAAGAGCATTCCATACTTTCTGAATACCGCAAAACCATAGGTGGAATGCAGCAGGATTTTCAAGTTCATTTCGTTTTTTTTTTTTTTTTTTTTTTTTTTTTTTTTCTTTTTTTTGGAAGCTACGATTTTTTTTGCATAAAATGAAATAATTCAGTTCTCTAGAGAATTAATCCTTTTGAATCTGTATCATTTGATTTATATTGAACCAAATACTTTCCCTTTATCAAGGGAAATATAGCTCATAACTACTATACTTTCCTTGATGGAAGTGCTAAAGGAATATTATCGTTTATCATACGGATTTTATAATCAGCATATTACTGTCGTTCGTTATATTTCTCTGAGGCCGTGACGTGTTTCTTTTGCGGGCCGCTTTCTTACGTTTCCTTACGTGTGTGGTCTTGAATATAATTTCCGCTATTTTCAAGCTTTCTCTCTCTCTCTCTTTCTCTCTCTTTTTTCTCTTTGTTCCTCCCTGTATCTCGAACTTTTTGCGTCTGTTTTCTGCTTTTTGAGGGAATTTTATAACTTACATGGTCAACACTTCTTCAAAAACTCTTGTTTTAATTATCGGCGACTGAGTGTAGAAGTATGTTTGTGAAAATATATCATACAGTGAGACCCAGTGAATGTGCTTGTGTGTATGTGTGAGAGTTTTGTTAGATGATCCGTTAACGTTAAACATAGCATAGCACTCGTACACATTCAAGGGCTCCCGATGTTTGGAAACTTTGGGCTTTCAAGTGAACGCCCTCAAGTTTCTCGAACAAAAAGCAAATTTATGGAAATTTATTATTAAATAAATTATTACAAGAATTAATATTTTTGTTTTTTTTTTTTGTTTTTTCTTTTTTTTTTCATTTTTTCATTGTGTAATGTTTCGACCACCACTTGGAACTGGGAGGATATATGTGGATATGAGATGATTTAGTATACAAGAAGGATTAATGATTTTTAATGGTTGAAAAACAAAGCAGACAATAAGAGTTACTGGATTAGTTATAAGGAGGAATCGTGTTTCATGTGTGGAGTGGTGGCTACGATTGCCTGCGAACGGACTACAATAATTTGGGGTTAACAAATTTATTAAACTTGGAGGTAATACATTCTTGTAGACTCCAACAAGCAGGCAAACTTCCTGAAAACGAGCACCTACCTCACGACGGCGTTCTTCTTCTCGTATCTGTTCTCGTCTTCTTTCCAATTCCAACATCATTTCGTGTTCCATCTCAGCTTTGGCGGCTTCGACACGTCTCTTCACTTCCTGTTCAATTTCATCACGTCTTTTCTCGAGTTCCTCCTCAACGCGTTTATTCACCAATAATTCGATACGCTTTGACGCTTCCTCTTCAACAATCTAATAAAGTTTAATTAATTTACAAATGTGTTCACTTATGTCGTATGTACAGTGGAAACCTTCTGTTCAGCTTCTTTTTGACGTCTTTGACGCTCCATTTCAGCTAAACGTTCTACTTCATCTAATTTTTTGTAGCGGCTTCGTTTGTGTCTACTGCTTGCATGCATTGTGTCGCTATCTGTGTAATCGCTAGAAGACATCGTGGATGGAGAACGTTTCCGATTTCTGTGATGGCTATGTTCACGTTCCCGATCTCTTTCCCGGTCTTTATCTCTCCTGCTAGCGGTATTATTGCCAGCGCAATAATTGTAAACAGCCTCATTGTCTTTATCACGCTTTCTATCTATGTGATGGGATTTGCTACGTTTTTTGTGCTTGCTTTTATGATGACGGCGCTTCGGCGTTGGACTTCGTGAACGTGAGCCCATTTTCTCTGTTTTACTTTTTAGTTAATTTAATATATTCTCTTTCTCAATCAAGAGCTATTGTCTTTTCACTTTCCACTGCAATTTTCACGCAATATTTAAAAAATAATTAGCACAAATATCGATTGTTGTTGCAATTGTCTCAAGTGACAGCCGTCGTTCAGACAACAACATTTATCGAGTTGCCATAACGACAGAAAGCTAATCACGTATTTGAAAGTTAACCTTCGTTCGCAACCAGGCCGATAATTGATCCGCGTTGCTGTCCCAATCGCGTAAGACTTATGCGCCATTTTCGTTGCCTTCATTCATACTTAAATGAAAAAGGAGAGAAATTTTTGTTTATATTCAATTAAAGGCTTATAACTTCCAAAAAATGACAACTGGTCCTACTGTCCGGTAAGTAAACAAGCAAACTAACTATTAATGGACGAATACATTTTCTCTTATAAATGCAATCTTTAACAATCAATGTTAACTCACAACAAACAACATTCACGCTCTTCCACTTTCGTATAATTCAACAAGTATGGGAGAGTGTATTTAACAGCTGTTGTGCGTGTGTGATCCCAAAAAACCTACAGCCGGGTGCTGAATACTCTCCGATCAACGATGCCAGACCAAGCGAAAACTTCGGCCGACTTTCAGGAAAGTGGTTACCCTGGTTATCTTCCAGAAGTATTTCATAACAGGGTGAGTTATAATTGTTTAGACGTTACTAATATTTTTTATTGCTTCACATTTATTACATATAGATGGCGTTGTACAAGTCTCGACATCCTTTGTTCTCGTGAAAGGAAAGCTGAGAGAAACTAAGTATACTCAAACTCTCAATTTCCCTCAATCTTATTTGAATTTACACAGCAAGTAATGTTTAATGTTTACTTGCAATCCAACAACAAAGAGATTTCCAGGGGAGCACACGGCAAAGTAAATTTCCTTCACAAATAAAGCAGATACACATAAGTATATATATGTTTGTTTATGTATGCAAGTGTGTATATGTATATGTATGCTTATGTATGAATATATAAATATATAAAAATATACTTTGATGTCTTCTCGTAAAAAATAATAGGTTGGAGGGAAAGTTCTGTCGTAGTTTAAAGAAAATATTTGAATTCATTTATAAAAATACGTGTTTAATATTAATCAATTATATATGCTTCGTTATTTGTTACAACCTGTTGCCATCTTTCAGGTAACCTATGAATTCCTGTTTTGCAGAAGTTCTCGTCCTTGGAGTTAAAATAGCCAGCAACTGCGTTAGAAACACTTTCAAAAGAATTGAATTTTTTTCGCGTTAGATAATTTTGCAGAGATCTGAACAGGTAATAATCAGATAGTACGATGTCATATGAATACGTTGCGTGACTAAGGATTTCCCATTCTACTATAAAAAAAGACTCCTTTTATACTATACAGTAGCTAAAAAACAAAATCCGAATGACTTGCCCATTTAAAATACGACAGAACTTTCCCTCCAACCTGTTAAAACAAAATATACGTATACAAAATATATTAAATAAATACTACTTACTAATTGATATCTGCAGTATATTTTCAATCAGACTCAATCCATATCCAATGTCAATAGTGATGATAATGATGATAAGGTTAATTTTATTTTATTGGTTTATTTGTTACATTTGTTTAAAAATGAATAAACGATAAATTCACACAATAGTAGGCAAGACCAGAGGAGAGTCCAAGCTAAATGTTCAAAGATAATGATTGCTTTCCTCGTTTCGAACTGCAACCCGAACACGTTGTTTTGTATTTTAATATGCGTTTTTTCAAAGAGTTCAGAGTAGGAATGAGTGGAAAGATCGTATTCGGCCATCGGAGAATTTTGTTTAGATCATACTTTTGCAAAGCACAATTAATTTATCTTGATTCTGAAAAATGAAATGCTAAAATGTGCAAGAAAGCTTAATTAACTTTAGGAGATTTTCGCTATCGTTATAACGTTTATGATTGTCTCATGAAAACACCTGTAAAATACGAATTACAAAGCTGCCCTCCCTAACACCCAGCAATCTCATAATATTTAACTAAGCGAAAAAAAGTTTTAAATTTAAATCTTCAAATAATAAGCAAGTGACCTAATGACCCAAACAACCCAAATTTTATCAAACTTTGATCCTTTACTCATGGTTCATTGTATAATTTCGTAATGAAAACGATTACAAAAATATATGATGTCTCCAATAAGATACCTACGAATGGAAGAAATGGATTGAACTCACACATGCACGAGTGAAAAGTTTGCTTGACCATATATACACATTGGAGTTTTGTGCATTAACATTTACTTTTATTGCGTTGGCAACATTTCACGAACAAAGTTCTCAAGCGGCAAACACAATGCTTGCGCTACGCGTTGTGCTTGGCTTACCAGCTGCGAGAATAAAAGTGATTGTACGCGATTAAGTGTAGATAAACATACAGCTTGCGTTGCGTTGTGTGTGTACAAAAATTTTTGGAAAACTTTTAAAATTTCTGCGTGCGAGAGAGAGAGATAGATAGATAGATAGATAGATAGAGAGAGAGAGAGAGAGACAGAAAGAGAGAGAGAGAGAAAGAGAGAGAGAGAGAGAGAAAGAGGAAGAGAGAGAGAGAGAGAGAGAGAGAGAAATCCATTGATTTATATACGATTATTGTACGTCAGCAGCTACGCGCTATGAACTCTGATATACGATACGATAGTAACAAAGCCAAGTAAACGACAAGATGGTTTAACATTTTGTTCAAAATTCAAGCAAAGAGATTATTACGGTTTTTTCATGTTTCTGTTACCAATAACAGCAACAAGGCTGTTAATCGGCCGGCATTTGAACGCTTGCTCTATCATTCTTGTCATTCATACATTGTATTGTGCATATACATTTCTGTGTTCCTAAGTGAATATTTGCCATGGTAAACATACATGCGTTCACGTATGAAAAAAATGAAATAGTAGACTTGTATGTAGCATATATAAATTGTTTGATAATGAAGAATTTTAAATTTTATGCTTGCTAAATGCTCCGACAAATTTTAATGAACATTTTTATATCGGTTAATGTGGGGGAATGTTTCGTTAATAAATAAAAAGAGTTACATTCTAAGACTAATTTATCTTTATCTATACAATTTACTTATAACTTATATATTTATTACTTTTATTGCCTTTCACATATATTTCATATAAATCTCGAACCTTTCATTGCACTTACTGGTTATTCTATTTTAGAATATATGTTCGAGAAGGTTCTAGGCTATCCTACATTAGTTTAAATATTCTACAATTTCTTCGCATATGCTTTACACCATATTTTCGTTGAAATTTACTCAAGCAATTGGTAGCGTTTAGACTTGTTCGATACTGAATAAACGATGAAAGGAACACAGATACACATTTATATGGCGCATATTCACTTAAGAACACAGAATTGTAAATTCTTCTGCTTTGGAAACGTTTGAGAGAATGTGTCGTCCTATCGAGAACCTAGTAACAGGATCTCTGCCCATACAAATAATGAGAATGAGTGACCACTGAAGTGCCTGCTAACTTACAGCGTTATAACCGTTATTGATAAGGGAAACACAAAAAGTCCTTGATAACATCCTGCATTGGGTTTTGAACAAAATGTCCGACCATCTTGTCGTTCAGTTGTCTCTGATTGTATTGAATAGTTATTTATGGATGGGTGTGTTGGTGCTGCAGTACAAATACTTATATATACTTTGATGTGCGTTTCCTTAAGGAGTTATGTAGATATGCACACGAGTACCAGAATCTTTAATTCCTTTCTTTCTCTATGTGTTTGGATGAATTCTTTTGGTACTTTGACGCAAACTGTTTCTTAAGTATACGAAAAATGTCACATTTCTTCTTGAATACTCTCATTACATTCCTAAATATTTATATATTTAATAATAAAAAAAGTATTTATGACAATTTCCTGTTCCCCGTCATTTCATTATTATTTATTATTATTATTATTTTATTTAATTAATCATAAATGAAACAATTGCAATTACAATCTTCAGCACAAGTTATTAACAAATTGCTAGATAGGATAGCTCGAGCAATTATTCAGTGCAGAATTAATTGGACAAAACTACATAACTACTCATTACACTAAGGACTGTAAAATTTCCTGCTCGTTACTCTGAACCTACCCATACTAACAATAGCCTTGATATTAGGCGCTAAGGCGAGTTCCATAACTTCACAGCGTTGATAAAATATAATTTTGATGATCTTAAATACTTACGGTCCGGAAGAATCAAATTCATCGCACGTTTGAATCTGAAAAACCGGATTTTCTCAAATGGATTTTTTGGCGTACAAGTATAATTCAGCTTATGGACCTATTAAGGAACGATGAAAGATCAGAATCTTTGTCGAAAAACTCGCTATTCTGTCGTATTTGCGCTTACTGAAAACATATCTGGCATACTTACTGACAGATAATTTTAACTTAGCGCTTTGATTGCGCACCAAGTGCACTCAAGCTTAGCTTGAGTGGGTACATACGAGGGGATGAACACAGTTGCCTAAGAATTTTGTGCATCCGCACAGTCATAAGATCGACATGATCGTCAGCACTCAAACGTGTGGTAGCTATAAAGCCAAGATTGGCAACCTGCTTGATGATGTCAATCACTGCATCATCCATTCTAATATTAGGTAGAGGTTCGGGGTCACAAACATTGTACGATATTGCAATAGCCTTCGCTTCTTGTGAATTAAGTTTGAAATTATCGACAACAGATCAGTGCGAGATACGACACAAATCATCATTAATTTGATGAATCAAATTCCTCATAAGCGTCCGTGGGCGTTATAAGTAAATTTGAGCATCATAAATGAATATTACAATTTTGACAGTAACCCGGCCTTTAACAAAGATACCAAACCGAATGGGATGTTGGGATATACCAGAGTGAACATTTATCTAGATAAGAGCTAACAAGCTTGACCGTCATCGGACCAAAGCCAAAACAAGAATTTAGTAAAGGACAAGAACTGAAAGATATCTCCATGTTTAGATAGTAAGTCCTGAACCTCTACAAACGCATTGAAACGGCTTATTCCTCGCAAAACATTCCAAGTCTATACACTATTAATTATAGTATATTGCATATTACATATGAACACTGTTAACTATTAGTATATTAAGTGAAATAAAATAATAACAAAATGTCGTTAATATTTCAAGCACCAGACGATTAAAAAAAGAAAACAATTTCCGGGTGACATGAAAGATTGCCAATTAGTTATGACTGCTATATGTTATTGCTAATTATTGTGAACTATGAAAAGTGCCTAAAAAATGGTTGTTTGTTCGAAAAATGAAAAAAAAATCAGCTTTCAAAGGAATTTTTTCACTTTATTAACATTTAGGTAAACAACATTTAAATATTTGAAAAATGCTTTTTTAATGATTGTAAAAAAGAACAAAGTTACGAAACGCGAGCTGTCGGTCTTGTAATTGTTCATGAAGTACAGTACGAGTGAGACATATAAAAATTGCGGTTGTGCTTCTACATCTAGAATGTGTGCTGTTACCAAAAAGTCTGCGTGCAAACCCTTCGATCAATACACGAATGTCTTTTTATTCCAAATATCGTTAAGGCACCTTTAACCATTCCATCTTAAAAGAATTCAGAAGTACATAACAAAATCCATATTTTTAACGCTTCCGAGTTTTTTTTTTGTAATAAGAATAAGTAAAAGCGCTATAGTGGGATGCGGCCCACTACGCGCTATGTCCTATACCTCTCTACAGCTGTTCATACAGCGGCTTTTCAAAATAAGAGGACAGAACGGATAGACAGACAGACAAGCTTAAATAAATTCAGGAAGTGATTCTGTATCGGTATAATAGAAGGAGAATCAATCTTACGGTCTTCTGAATGTTGCATACATACGCACAAACTTAGTAGAGGAACATCTTCATTTTCCCTATTGAGGGTGTGTTTACCACAGTACCGCAGACAGGCAAGTGGACAGACGAACGATTGGATATGTTTAGCTTCATTCCAATTGTGAACTTGAAGTTTGTTTCTTGCGCCTTATAAAGATATTAACAAAAAAAACTAAATAAATAAAATTTTGTTACACTATAATGTGAGATAGGCGTGGTCAATTCGTTCTATTTTTTTTTTACGAAACCTACAGCATCGCCCATAGAAAATTCCAGCAAAGTTTTATGCATTTATCTGCTATGTTATTGAGTTTATGAGTAATGAGCAAAAAGCAATTTTTTGTGCCTTTTGAAGAAAGAAAGGTGTTATCGGTTTACGTGGTGCTGTGGGCATGTCCTTCGAGTAATTTGGCGTGCAAGAGCTTTCAATGTTTCTGCAAAGTTCGAAGTCAATAGGTTCACTTTTGCAGCCAGGAAAATGCTTACAATACACATTATGCAGACAGACGGACGGACAGACGGACAGATTGACATGTGTAAATCGATTTAGAATTTGATGCTAATCAAGAGTATGTATACTTTGTGAGTTCTCTCATGCTTTCTTCTGGGCGTCCTTTTCGTCATCCCTCGGTGATGGGTATAAAAAAGAAGTCTGGATTTCACAAGTAAAGGAAAGAAGAACTTATTATTTCAATATATGAACAGAGAGAACGTCTGCCTGATTTGGCCGATTTG